CGTTATTTAGCTTAAAAGTAGAATCGCTCAAATAAATTTGCAATATATAAATATATATAAAAATATAAATATATATATATATTCCCAATTTATTTGAGCGATTCATCAATCCTCTACTACATGATTACTTTATATACTTAAAAAAAATTTTATTACGTGATTCAGGTTAACTTAAAAACCAAACCGCGCAATCTCAAGAAAATATGTCTTTAAATAGAAATCACGAATTATAATTGAGGGGACATCAAAATGACACAAACAAAGTGGGACAGAGCAAGGATTTAGGCTCTGAATAGAACCGCGTGCCACAGACAAATATTTGTCTATTAATATTTGTACATTCCTGCAATCCCCACTTGATATGCCATGGTAACTAGGCCAGTGTCTAAACTTCTCCGCACCTAAAACTGTTATATCGCATAGTTCACCCACAATCAAATCATATTGGGGCATGGAGAATAGCTTTTCTGTTTCCTGGAGGAAAATTCGAGGAGTGAACAAATTGCTTGTTGGGGCGCAAGAGTTGTGGTATCGTGCTGTGTTGTGGCCTAGATGAGAGGCATTTGTTAGGATTGGGGTTAAGCTGAAAGCGATATGTGATGGGACTTAATTGCAGATATGCCCCTCCCTTTCTCCATGCGCATGTAAATGATTTGATATACGTGAACCACAGATAATGCTTACCCTGGATGCCAGCTTTTAGACATGATGTGCAGGATCCACCCTTGTTGGCCGAAGAAGCTATCAGCCCACACGAGGAGCAGTCTGACAGAAGTCCTGCGAACTAAAACAATGATAAAGGCATGAATATAAATGTACATATGCGTGCGTATGAATGATTGTTTGAAGCCAGGCGCAGCAATTAAAAGCGACGCATAGACATAAAAAATCGTCACACGAATGGGCATTGAGCTTAAGAAAAAGCGATCATATGGAGGATTAAGGCAGACAATCTACGCTGTTGTGATGATGCCTAAAATTTGTCTCTGAATTTGTCGTTTAGACGTATGAAAATATTATGAAACAATTAACAATTAATTTTAAAAGTGCATACAAAGTAGAAGCCCCCATTACCATTCTCCAAAAAGTATATACAAGACAATATATATGAGTATATTTGTATGAATATATGCACTTGCAGGTGTACCTACGTTGCCGCGCAAGAGAGCTGGCC